TGTAGGAAAGTAATAGTGGAAACAGATTCTTTGCTGGCTACTAGAATTCTCCAGGGATCCATGGGTAATAATATTGCACACAGCCATTTAGTGGAAAGGATAGGTAACTTAATCCAACGAGACTGGACGTGCGTGATGCAACATACATAAGGCAACACTTGGGCAGACTTCTTAGCTTCACAATTCTATTCTCTGCAAGGAGGGTCTCAATTTTTTTGAGAAACCACCAGATGGTGTTTATGGACTCCTTAGGGATATATTGGGCATTTGTAGGCCTCATGCTATGAGATAATTCAGTGCTAAGTATTGTCCCTTGTATCCAAAAAAGTAAAAGATAAGGTAAGAGAATGAGATAACAAAAAGAAAATATGGCAAATGAGAATGCTTTACGAGTATTTTTTTTATTCTTCCATTTCTTCATGTTCTTCATACAATTGTAAACCTATATATAGGCCAAAGGAAGAATGAAAATTACATAATTCGATAAATGAATTTAAATAGATTCATGAATGAATTTAAATAGATTCATGAATGAATTTAAATATATTCATGAATAAAATTAAATGGATTTATGAACGAAATTTAATAATTCAATGAATAAAGCTTGAATTCATAAATGAGATTTAGTAGTTCAATAAATAAAGTTTAGATTTATGAAAGAGATTTAATGATTTAATTAATAAAGTTTATAATTGAAGAAAAGATGAAGGTGAAATATTTCATTTGTATAGTTTATAATAATTTATTCTTTCTTGTTATTTATTTACATTTTTTTTTTTGGTAGTTTAAATTTATAATTCGTTTAGCCCTTCAACACAAAACCTAGCTTTTCAACCGATAACCCATCCACTTTCGGCTAAGGCCACCGTTCCTCATTTCCTCTCCGATACTTCATTCTTCTTTGTCTTCCTTTTTATTTTATTTTATATTTTTTATCTACTTCCTTCTCAACTTTAGAAAGCAACGAGTTGCTGGTTGTTGGCTCTTCTCGGATTGATTGGTATTTGTTTCCGTCATTTGGGTTTCAAATTGTTGAAACTGTTGATGATGTTGCTATCTGTTTGTCTTTTTGGGGTTCAGTTCAAATGTTGAATTTATTAATGAGAAAGTATAATTAATACACACCTAAAAAAATAGATTAAACAGACCCTAATTTTAAATTATTTTTTTAATATATCAGACACTTGACACAAGATTTAAATCTAACTTAACCAAACTTTTGTTGGTACAAACCCTAAGTTGTGTAGTTCATGCAAGATGAACAGCATATCATTTTTTATTAAAAGTCATAAATGAGTTTTTCACCATGAACAAAATAAAAAATACACTTCTAACAATGTTTTTTTTACAATGAAATATTGATATATGAAGTAGATAACATCTCGGGTGTATCAGTAGGCTATCAGAATTTATGTGCTGCCATGTCTTGTTTTCAATGGTCTTACATATCAATAAACAACGAAAAAAGACAACATATCAATTCAAACTAAAATTTGAAACCAACAACATATTACCTAAATAACATTCAAAAGATAACAAAACCAAAATAGCATTGTTTCATTGCTTTACTTCACCGAGCTGCAACTTCAAAAGCTCGCCGGACATGCGTAGCTTTGCTGTCATGGCTGCAATCAACAACCTTGTTGCACAATCGCAGAAGCATGAAACAAAACAAGGGCTGATTAATAACCAGAATCACTCCATGTAAAAAGACATAAATCTTGTTTTAAAAAAACTATACGTACAAAATTGTCCTAGTCTTGCTAGCAAGAAAAAAAGTGCTAGTAGAGCAGCGCAGTTCATCAGATGTACCCAATCTATACCCCAAGAATAACCCACATTGAGCATGAAAATTGTTGTATTCTAAGTAGAACAGACATTTGTTCCCAGAAAAAAGGGATGAACAGGCAGAAGTTAAGCATCTCGGCAGCTCCCACCAGCACCATAGGTAAAACAATAGAAAATAAAGAAGAAGGATGCGGTTAAACAGAATGTTAATAGAATTGATGAAATATTCTAGTGATTGAAAAGCTCGTGTAAAGGCCACATAACAGAGATGAGAAAGTTATGTAAATATCAGATATATCTATATAACAAGCATGATCTATGATTTAACATCAAAGCATTAAAGCATCTAGCCTCCCTGGCCCAGTAACAGGTTCACTTTTCCTTCAATTCCCCTAGTTCATTCAAAACTATAAAGTGTAAAAGAAAAAGTTCAGATATTGACCATATACCTCTGCAAATCTAAGAACACACTACAGAGCTGAGCTGAACTTTGAGAGAAAAGATTTAGATAAAAGATTCAAACTTTGTCACTTTTTCTATATAAGAATAGAAACTTTGCCTTGATCATAAATCCTTACGCAAAGCTGGAACCTTGAACGATCACCTTTTACACAGAACTATAAATATTTTTACACATACTTTTGAAAATTTGTTCGTCACGATGTTGTGCAGGATTGGAAAGAACAGTGATGACAAATACCAACAAGAACTTGTTGATTCCCACCAATACAATTTTGGTATACAGGTTTGAGATTTTAACAGTTAACATTATTAAAACAGTGAATCCAAAATTTCAACTGCAGCATTACAGAAAGTGAAATTACTAGAATATCATTAATTTAATAAATTAATGATAAAGGATGTATTATTTTGATTGTTTGACAATGAAAATGTCAAAAGCACTTAGATGGCATCAAGTGAATTATTACTTCATTATAAGACTTCATTGCAAAAAAGGCATTATCAATAAATTATTTTTCAAAATATTATTATCACTTTTTTTTTTTTGTCTGTTCATGCTAAAAAACCACATCTTTGATTTTTTTAAATGAGAACTAAAAAATTCAGTTCATGACATGATGAGTACATCCAAAATGGAACCCACAACGATGTGTGTCGTTATCATTTTAAAATTACAAAATTTATGCAAATATATGATTGAAAAAAGAAACCCACAAGCAATCTGATATAAACAAATTGAAAAAGTATTTTACAATTTAAATTATTTTGAACCGTAAATATTCTAAACAGTAAAACACTAACCCTAAACAAAGAGTCCATGATATTGGACTCACGTCCAAGCGTCCCTATTTTAGGGTCCAGATTATAAAAAAAGGTTAAAGGGATTCACATCTGAGAATGAGATCACTTACACGGCAAAAAATGGGAGACATTATCGAAAACAGAGGTAAAAAGGAAAGGGAGGGGGGGACCGGAAATCATCTGAATTGACGGAATTGGGAAGAGTGATCTAATCTAATGTAACACAAAGGTTAATAGTTCCTCTTCCCAACCCGTCAATTCAAACAATTTGCGGCCGTCCTTTTCACTCTTCTCATTTCACCTTCTCTTCCGCGGCGTCTCTTCTGTTGGATGCTAGGGCTCTTCTGATCGACCTCTCCTATTTATAGACAAAGGAGAAGAGGTTGTTCGATTTAGGGAATTTATGGGCCCACGAACCAAAGCCCAAAGATTGACCCCTAGGCATTATCTCTTCTTCTTTCTTACTATTTAATTTAAAATTTAAAATTTAAATTATAGTTTTGTACTTTCTTTTGCACTACAAAATTAAAAAAATCTTCATGATAAAATTAAAATAATTAAAATTGAGTAATCATCATCTGATTTAGTGGTTTAAACTTTGAATTAATGTAAATTATCTTTTATAAATTACATATTTAAATCTCATAAATCTTTCTTCAACCCTTATTTATTCAATATGTATTAATTTTTTTTTGCTCAAAAAAATAATTAAAATTGAGTAACCCTACTATATTTAATTTAATTCCATCGTTAAAATATTAAAATTTGTAAAAAAAATATACATGTGAATGTCATATACATGTCATATAAGTAAAAAACTAACAAATAAATCATTTGAATTTTCACGTAATATTTAATATTAAAAAACATGTGAATTTGTGGCAAGTAAAGTAATTAAAATGGCTATTCCCCTTACATCCATTTTTAATTACTTTACTTGCCACAAATCTTTGCCCGGACCTGACTGTATCTGTGTTTTGTTATATATATTTCCATATTTCCACCAAAAAAAAAAAGTAATTAAAATGGCAATTTTGCCACCTTTATCTAGGAATTCCCAACTCTCAATCCCGATCAAAAAATCAACTGCCTATCAAAATCTATATGGATATAGCTTAGAGTGGGGTCTCGAAAAACAAGCATATTTTTCTAGTCCTTTATCCTTCGTTTAGGTTCATTAGGGTTTTTCTTGGTTGGAAGGACAAATACGGTTACCTCGTTTCAGAAATGCAGAAGCATGAATCAAAACAACTGATTAATGGCCAGAATCAGTCTATGTACAAAAACATAAATTTTGTTTCAGAAAAAAGCTATACATACAAACTCCTCTAGCCTTGCTAGCAAGAAACAAATGCTAGAGAGCAGTCCACCAGATGTATCCAATCCAAGCCCCGAGAATAACCTGCATTCAGGCATGGATATGATCATTATCCCAGGTTGAGCTTCTTGAACACGGAACAGACATTTGTTCCCAGCAAAAAGGCATGAACAGGCAGATATTAGGCAGATCCCACTGGCAGTATAGGTAAAACAATAAATGAGTTAAGGAAGCAGAAATCTGAGAGAAGAAAATAAAGTAAAAGGATTTGGTTTAACAGAACCCTTAAATCAGTAGAAGCCAATTATTATTCAAAATTTTCATCCAGGAAAGAGAGTTTAGCAAATTGCAATCTTGAGTTGCATGACATCATGATATTGCCATTGACATATTTGAATCCTTGGACTGGTACAAGAAAAATTACAAATAGCAACAAAAAATATCAAGGTTCAGAGAGAAAGAGACCTGACTCTGCTTTCAATCTAATCATCCTCCTCTAGATCAATTACCATCCGGAGCTTCCTTCTGTTTATGGAACTTTTCAACAATGCGTCAGTTTCCCTGTCATCCCCTGAATCTGCCAACTCATCTTCTGCTTGCTGATGTGCCAAATCACCAAGAAGATTGACAGGTGAAACACCTAACAAGTTTCCACTGGTACTGCCTTTAGCTTGGACTTCTGGGGTGTGTTCCCAGCCATGATGGTCAGATGGAACATCCATGTCTTTTGATTGGTAGCCTCCATCCCTAATTAAGAGAGGAGAGAGACTGAACTTTTAATCAAAAGACTGAGAAAACATGATCTCAAATATGAATATCTATAGAGATTTATTGAGATATGAGTACCTTGAAACTAAAGATAAAAGCAGAAGCTATTTAACAAGAAGACATTGAGGCCGATATCAATACCTTTCTGTATCAAAATTTGAAACTTCAAATCCAGAGTTTCCATCAATCATCCCGTTGGTAGATATTGTTGTGAGCCTCTTATTCTTTGACTTTGGAGGGAGCACCTTGGTTTTCCTATGGTTAAAATGGAAATAACCATGAAACATCCAAAATTATGTTTTGTCTCAAAATTCACTTGAATTTGTGATGTTTCTTAGTAAGTAATGAACAAAGATGAAGCACAAGAACAAGGATGCAGAAATTGGCATATAATTTCCATTTGTTCAAACACTTTTGTATGGAAAAAAAAAGTACTATAACCACATTTATTTGGTTAAAGTAAGCCTTTTCTGGTTCTCAATGCATGTGCCTTATTTGAAGAGCAGAATGTTTTCTTGAAACAAAGAAAAGGATCAATAAGAGTCAGGAGAGTTTTAAACTCAGCACTCATTTAGGCAACAAGTTCCAGCATCTTACTTGAGAACTGAGCTTAGAGTTTCATCGTTGGAATCATTTGGAACTTCTTCCAAATTCTCTTCTGGCAACTTTTCACCAAAAAATTTATCATTTTCCTTGTTTCTGCCCCAAAGTTTGAAAATGAAAATGTACGTTAGAAAGACCCTGGAGTATTATATTGCTTCATAAAATAAAAACACTCCTAAGTCCTAACTATTTGACCAGAGATTGATATACAAATAATCTCAAGGCACTAGCAATAGAAAAAAATTATATTTATTTTGAGTAAAAAGTTTGATGATTACTCCTGATGCCTAGGTGTTTAGAAGCTCAATAAGTAAGCAACAGAGAAAGCAAAAACTCAAAACACAAGGAAATAATTTGAAGGCATATGGAGTAATAGGCATTAATATGTGAGAACTAAAATGTACCAATAGTGTTCAATAATGCCAAAACTAGTGGAACATGAAATTATCACTTGTAAATTTACAAAGTTAATACCCAAGAATATCTCAGTATTTGTAGAGATAAATTTGCAGCTACCTGTTTCTAAAAGATAGCAATGTCTCATTGTCAGATATATCTACAGAGGGGTCATCAAGTTCCTCATGTCTCAGTTGCATGTTAGCTTCAGACCTCTTCTGATGAGGAACACGTAAACCAAGTTGGTTGAGTTTACGGGTGACTTGGGCAGCTGTGAATGCATTGTCAGGATCCAGTGCATTTGCAATTAAATAACTACACCTCTTTTGCCCTTTGAACCTGCAAGGAAGTGCAAATAACTTTTTTTTTTCCAGTGAAATGATAGAACCAGCCAAACTTATTTGGATTCAACACTTATTAAGGGTTGAAACAGGAAACAATAATAGAACTTTTTGCTCCATTTAAGCACCTCTGTCTTAAGAAAATGAACCAATCAATTAAATAGATCTAATACTCACTGTTCAAACAAATCTTTAATCATTTCCTCCTGATCTTTGCTAAAAGCACGCACTCTTTTTCGGGTATTCCTATTGCAGACAAAAGAAAATTCAGAATATTAATTTGAAAATTGATACAAAAATCCTTCATCTGGGTTTTATGCCATACAATGAAAGTTATTTTTTCCATGCCTCATGAGTTCAAAACTTCTTCAAGAAGATAAAACAGCATTCTAGCACTAAAAAGTATGCTGCTTTGGGAGCTTAAAGAGTGCCTATAACATTAACATCACAGAAAATACATATGCTAGGTAATAAATTCTTACTTAGGTTGATGAGGTGAACTTCCTTCTGAGCCATTTTTGTTATTAGGAACAGCTTCACCCTGTTGATCAGAACCAGCTGAAAATGGTCCACCAGCCCTCATCCTTTTCTTTGGTGCAACTTTAAGTCCTAGCTGTTTAAGTTTATTAGAAACTTGAACAGCCAAAATTTGACCTTCAGGATCTAGGGATTCCGCAATAAGACGACTACAGTTGGGGTCATCCTTGTATCTGAAACAACCAAATTCTCAAAGCACAGAGTGCAAACCAACATCAGAAATTAAGAAGTTATGACTAATTTCTTAATGCTTTCATCATTTGATTAACTATAAGAAATTCCACACCATATGCCTTTAATCTTGGTACATGAATGACCTTCAAGGGAAATGGTATTGCAATAGAAAAACTCTTAGGAAAAAATAAACGTACTTCTCATAGAGGTCCTTCACTTTTGTCTCCAGATCATCACTGAGAACAAGTCTGCTCTTTCTTTCAGAAATCTTTTCAGATTCATTTTCCGTGGAATTTCCCTCACTGTGGAAGCCAAATAAACCAGTTAAAGAGACTCCAAATACACATCTTAATTAAAACAAGTAAACTACTTCTCATCAGTTCATAATAATAACACACAGACCAGACATTTGAAACTGAAAAGAAAAGCCTCCATCTCTAGAGCAAAATTAAATAAAAATTTAACTTAAAAATTTTCATGCAGCATTCATGTGATAGTTAAAAATTTTCATCATCTATATTAAATAAAAAAAATTAAAGGAAAGAAAAAACTGTGTTAGATGAACGTAACCCACACACAAATTGCCTAAGACCTTAAGTAATTATAGGACCCCAATTGACATTCGAAACTCTACCATTGGTAAACAAAAGGCATACATCAATCAAACGTGTGGAATTTTAAGCTACATAAACATGTCTTACTTCTGATAATCCAATTCATGAGTGATCACAACATCGGCTTCATCCTCACCCAGTGCATCTGCTATGCTTATGCGAGCCCATTCCTTGGACTGTGATGATCCAATTTCTCCATTGCTCAAATCATTCCCCAGATTCCTACTTCTTTTTTTCAAACCTCCTAGCTCATGCAATAAATATTCAGCATTAATGTAATGACATTCTCTGCGGCTTTTCCAGAAGAGTATCTCAATAAAAAGAAGGGGCTGCTTCTTCATTTTCTTCAGCATGTTTCTGACCAAACGTGTAAGAAAATCAACAATGTTTGCATAATCCTTGTTTGGACATGACTTCTGCTCAACCAGGATGTCATAGAATGTTCCGAGGAGTGATAACTGCACAATTTGGCAAAAGAAAAACATATATATCAGGTTTGTATTCGTATGGAGATAACCCACATTCTCTATCATAAATGAGCTTCAAATTTCACCTGATATAGCATTGGGGCGAGCTCTAGGTCCTCAGTGATCTTCCGCAACATCCAGATTACATATTTGTTTGTACTGAGGGAATTGCTCCTATAAAACTTAAGTAACCAGCACAGGTTTTGAATAATGTTACAGCTTGCAAAAGCAGAAACTAAAGTAGACACGTCAAAATCAACTTCATTAACTGTAGCTGGCTGCTCATCACCAGAAAGGGAATCACTGCTGCAACAAAGATCATCATCAATATGATCATGTTTGTTGTTATCAGTCTGTAGTGGATCTCTTCCATGATTCCCCTCCCCTGACTGAGCCATTCCTGGCTCATCTACCAGGTGAGGAATGCTGACATCTTCTTTCCCACCAGATGTTGAAATCATTGTGTTTTCCTTCAGTGTTGCAGTTAATTCTGCTTGTTGCTGGCAACATGAAGTGCTAGCCTCATTTGGCATAATTGCATGAGCATCAGATGGTTCATTTGCAGCATCCTTGTCACTGGTTGCTTTCTTCTTCCCCCCCTTCCTTGATTTTTTAGAAACCTTAATCATGAAAATTTCAACGTAAATCACAATAGTTAGAAGGCTCTTTCAAATTGAAAATGGACTAAAAACCCACATCCAGTAATGCTTGAGGAATAGATGTCAATTACAAAATCATAAATAGCATTTAACACAGAAGACACACACACACAGAGGCACTGTAAAAATACAGAATTTTTTATGATTAAATATGAGGAAGCAAAATGAAACAGCAGTCAACATAGAGGCAAGCGTGGAACATACACAGAGAGACCATAAAATACAGAACTTTTATGAATTCATAATTGAATGAAACAGCAACCACCATAGAGGAAAATTCATAATAAAGCATTTCATTTGTTCATTGCATGTGAAAATGAAATTTGATTGAATCTCAATTTAATTGTGCATAATATGCTGCCCGTTAACTTAATAACCCCAAAACAAGATGAACCAGATAATATTTAAAGTCCATTGGTCTAGGCCACATATAGCCAATTTTAAATATTGGTAGAATATTTATCAATTGGAATGTATAAATGTGTGTGTGTAAAGTTACAGCAAAGCAAAAGAGGACATAATTAGTTGACGTTATATTTCCGTTAATAAACCAAGACATATGTGAGCATCCAACCTAAAATCAAATGGAAATAGGGGGAGTGACACATTTTATATTCCAATTTTACCCTAAGTAGGCCCAACTTTGGCTCATCATGTGGACTAACAGTGGGCTTGACAGAAAACAGAACCTGGGCTTAAATACCATATGAGCATCCAACCTCCTCTTAATTGACCAGTGTGGCATTCCCACTTAACAATATCATTGACAAATTACCTGACCAGAAAATGTTCTCTTATACATTTAGTGATATCTAAAATACAAAAGAATTATTATTCAACCAGTCAAGTTGGATGCCATAAATTGTGGTTGGAAAGGAGAGAGAGGAGGGTGTGAAAGCAGATGGATGTTGTTTCCCCATCTATGATTGCCTTAAAAAATAAACTAGTAACATACCCTCAATGAGCCACGTGCTTGGAGGTTCTCCAGGAGCTGGACAACTATGTATATTATTTCCACCAAATCTGCTAGATCACTGCCAGGGAGAATAAAAAAACAGCACAGAATCATATGGACTGACATCTATAGATGACACAGTGTATAAATTTGTAGCATAGGATTGTTGAGTAAGCATTCTGTTCTAAAATAGAAAAAGAAGCCAATTCAAATTGAGTAGAATGAAAGCAATAAGAAAAGCCAACTCTTTCTGAAAAACAGGAATAAAATTTGCATGCTAGGGAAAGATCAAAAGAATTTAAACAAAGAGCAATGATAATTACTTCAGCAGAGCTGTTAATTATAATAAATGTTGGTATTTTAGAGTTAGAAGAAAACCTTTTGGGCTGTTTGCGAGTGTCAAACACTTTGACTAGGTTTAGAAGGAACTTGGTCATCCCTTCATCAGTTTGATCATAAAATAGCTTGTAAAGAAGAATGCGAGCTGTTTGGGGCTCCTTAGAATCATCTGGCAATGACTTGAGCACCAAATCTAACATTCGAAGCTGCATGTGAAAAAGAAAGGATAGAACCAAATCAATCCTAGTTAAAAGGGGCAGCATTAAGCTAGAAGCTTTCAAGAAGAGTAATCTATTCTCTGTTTGAGAAACGGATAAATATTTTACCCAAAAAGAAAAAAAGAAAAGGAAAAACCAACAGATAACTCCACCTAATTAATTTTAAAAGGAACCAACAGTTGACAAGGTCTTCTATTGAAGGTGCATTAGAGTCATTACCAATCGTTCTCCCACTGGAAATGTGAGGTTATAGATGTGAATGGAAACTGTATTAACTTGTTATCAATGATGTAGATTAGGGGGAAAAAACTTCTTTAACTATATTCTAAATATTCTTGTGCACTCATGATATAATATAACAGCCATATGGAAAACTTAACATATATCTTATGATATTGAAAGGATATGAAAACATATAAGTTAACAAGGAAGCATATATCAACCATATTTTTCATAAGAGAACCAGCTGCTGACAAAAACTTGTAGTTGTTAGTTTCCTTCAGGCCATCAAATGCATTGCGCCATCTTGAAATCACCAATTGGAACATTGATTCATTCATTGATGCTGCAATTGGTCCACAGATGTTGCCTTTGAAAAAAGTATTGTCCACATTTTCATCAGCAGAAACTTCAAAATTTTCATTTTCTGTGGCTGGCTGTTAAAAGAATCAGCAATCATGCAAGCAGCTATTAAAAAATGCAGAAACTTTGACAACGCCAACTAAGAGTTAAGCAACAAGATATATCTTAAACAAGTAACAAAGGGAACTAAATGCATTTCTATAAAAATATTTTAGGACTATGTTTTGGATCTGGAAAAAAGCTACATATTTTATTTTTCAATTAAAGATTCTTGTGTAAAGAATCTCATTAAAGCAAATTTTTAGGTAGGAAAAACTCCATGCAATGTTTAGGAAAGTCTAGACAGATTCAATACCAATCTTAATCACACAAACGTAAATCATCAGGTATCAACTACCAATAATTGGAATAATTACTTGGAAACCTACACAATCTAGGAATGAAACTATGACACTTAAAAGCTCTTTTTTGGCACCAAGTAACTGAAAGAGAACTCCAGACATGGCATTGCTAACCTGCCACCGGGAAGAACTTGGCACAAACACAATGAATCTTAGACTTTTGATGTAGGTCAAAATCTCACAAATAAAGAGGAGTTCATGCTGCCACAAATTTTTCAAGTAATTGCTTTTATCACTCTTGCACCATCTCAAAGTATAAAAATGAAATCCATTACTCTCATCTGTAATTTATGAACACTGCTTTCTAGGATAGTCATTTATCTTGTCCAGCCCACACACCTAATTTCATTTTGCAGTTACCTCTTCATTTTGCAAATCAAATCACATAGGTTCACAGAAAAAACAATCAAAAAACAAAACCTCTTTTCCTCTCTCCCTTTAGGAAAGAGAAAATGTTATTCATTGCCAGAGCATCCAGTTGCATTTAATGCATATTTTCTGAAACAAACCACCTAGAGTTTACACGATGACCACTCAAAAAGTATATACAGATTTAGAAATTCCACATAAAATTTCCACAGATTTAAAGTAACAGGTACCATTAACTAACATAATAACAATTATTCATTTTCTTGAAGAAATGCCCACTGATGGGAAAATGCCTGTACCCAACACTTGTTAATACATGCACATGTGTGAAATGTGCCAAAAAGTAAACAAGAGATTTGAGGCACCCCATCCTCACCTGGGAAGTCAAAAACTTCTGATATTGGAAACAAGTGACAAACTCAGCAACCTTGAAGAAAACAACAACATCCCCATTCTGAATTGCATGATGTTCCTTCTCAATGTCCTCATGAATAGACAGCATCAAAACTGACATGGATTTGGTTTCAACATAAGAATTAGAAACATCAGAAGGGAAAAGGAAAGAAAAGACAGAGTAAATCAGTTAAGGGGGATGCCACAAGATAAATCATCATTTCCATGACCACTTAAAAAGTACATACCATTATATCCTGTTGATAGAAACTGTTTCACAAAGTCATGAAGGAACTCTAGAATATTGTCTTTCACTGAAGGTAAGCACCCGTGTTCTGAGACAACCTTTCTGGCAGAACCCCTGTTAGGTTTATGAGATCTAGCAAGAAGATTTTGAGGAGCAGCAGCAGGGTTTCCCTTGAAGACTGCATTAGAACCATCCTGTAGGAGAAAAAATTATAGAAATTACCAAGTTGATGACCTCCTGGTTAGCATCTCAAGTAATGAACTTCATACCATAGTCTTCCGTGTAAATGTTCCACTAAACTGTGAATGGCGGATTGAACTTTGTAGTCTAGAAAGCTTTCTTTTCCTTTCTTCCTCTTCCATGATGGACTTGAGATCATTAATGGCATCTCCATCCCCCTTTCATACAAAGCTCATTGGTAAAAATGACTCACCAACATAAGACCAGTCAAACAATGATTATAAATTCAAATTTCAAGAACAGACAGCAGACAAGAGGAAATAAACCTACCTTAGAACCCCTTAAACGAGCTTTAGCAACTAACTCTGGATCTTGACTCATAAATATGTAGTGGAAAATTTCCAACAAAAGTAAGTTATCATGGCGGAAATAACTGCGAGAACCGCCAACATGCTGGGTTATAACTATAATTAAGTCCATCACATTCTCTTGGAACAATAGTTCAAGAAATCTGTCTCTCAGTGATAAAAATAGACTAGCAGATGCTCCAGCCTTTTGCAGTGATGATATGTCTTGGATAGCAAGAATGTTACGGAATAAGCTCAATACCAGCTGGACCAATTTCCAGTCATCTTCTGTGAATGATTCACTGTAGAGCAAGGGGATTCACCACCAAAGTTGAAAACAATTTGACAAACATTAAGGAACATCCAAGGTAGTATGTCCTTAAAAATGAACATTAAAAAGATAAAATGTACTACTTATAGTCCAAAATTCATTGCATCTATGCAAGTTGGCCAAAATTGTGTTTCTTTACAAGTATAGAAGGGGGCATTATGCAGTTCTAAAAAGTTTCCTAATAACTACAATCTATGCCATATGTTAAGAGTTTGACAACTAATTCATTATTTCTTTTATAAACAACTTTACTGAGCAATGAAATAGAGCATTGATTAAAATAAAATTTTTCTTTTTTTTTTTTTACTTACCATTCTAAATTTTCAAGAGGGCCCTCAAGCAGTGAGACTATAACGGGAATTATGACACTGCTTGTAATAGAAGCCTTCAATTCCCAAAGATACTCCATCTGTTGAGGGATATCACTGGATGAAGGCTCAACAGGCATTGAAAGGAAAACTAACACTTTCACTGCAAGAAGAGAAATGAAAAACTTTTATCAACAGCCATTAATCGAAACTAGTTGGGGGGAAAAACAGTGATGAAAATAGTGATTGCAGAACATGTAATCAGCTTTTTCTACAATATCATCTACCTGCATTTAACACCAAACTCCGATCATCCTGACAGTTTTCAATAATAGGTATCAAATTTTTGGAAATAATGTTCCATTTGCAAACTTGCTTAAACACTTCTCGTGTTTGCGGATCATCTCGCCTTAAAAACCTCAGCAAATCCTTCAAATTATCTGCCAATAATAGCTTGAGATCAGGTTTTGCTAAATTCAATCAAATTCAAATGCAAAGTTTTGAGAAAAACAATATAAGTGAATGACGGAAAACCATGAAAAAAACCACCATAATCATAATTTAGGAAATGAACAAAATAATGCATTTATCTCCATCACCATCAAAGTTTAATTGACAAACCTTAGCGAACAAACTAAACGAAAACCCTTGTTCCACCCGAATCCGAAAGCATCATGCAAAGAGTTTAAAGAGATCGTAAATTACCATACCTAGACAGTTTTCGCCTCTATCATAACCAACCCGGTTCCCTTTATCGTCCTCCAAAATGAGGCCGAGACCATTGCAGATAAATGATAAACCCTCCGTCTCCTTCATTTTCTAAGAGTTAGGGTTTTGATCGGGGATTTACCGGAATTGAGTATGAGAAGATTGTAGGTATTAGATTACTCGGATCTGAGTTAATTTTACAATTCTGAGATTTTGAAGAAAAGGAAAACTGGATTAGGGCTGGGGTGGCGTGGCGTGGCGCCAATTGAGATGTGAATTTTCCCGCGCTTTTGATCGTTGGAGATATAATCAGGAAGGGGCAAGAGTATAATAGAAAACGTGCATCCTTTGACGTGGATAAAGGCTATTCCGTGTTTTGTCACCGTGTGGGCTATAATATGCACTTACAGAGTTTTATGACTGGCCCAAGAAAAAAAAATGGCTGGCAAGGGAAAAAAGACATGGTGAATGACTTAGGCCCATAATTTTGAGCTGTGGACTCGACTCACATGTAAATAAGGATGGCAACGGATCCTTTCGAACAGGTATTCCCTAATCCCTCTTCATTTCCATCCTTGTTAATAGTAGATACAAGGATTTTTATGAAGATTTTTTATTAGGATTAAAAATAATTTTCATCCCATATACCCATATATGTGGGGAATGACAGATTCCCATGGCTATATAGAATTTTTGGTTAAATATTAAATATATAGAATTTTATTTTATTTTTATAAAAAAATAAAAATTTAAAATAAATCAAATAAGTAAATATATTAACATACAATACAATAAATCAATATGTAGTAACTAGTTGTAGTAAATGTACACTATCATACATGTCCAGTAGGTAGTTTATAAAAAAAATGCATTAATTACCATATATATCTATGTTGGGTTGAGTTATTGAATTGGATTTGAAAAAATTGAAACTAAAAAAAGAATTAGGCTAGACAATTTAAGTTCGATTGGATTAATCAATTGGGTTAGGTTAATCAATTGGGTTGAAAGTAAAAGTTAATTAATAATATATTTACAAATATATATATAAATAAACTTATATCATTTTTTATTATATATGGATCCCGCCTTGTGAGAAGTAGGAGGAGGAATAAAATCTCTATTCTTGTGGTGGGAATCTTTGTGAAGCTCCACAAATTTCAAAAGGAGATTGTCATTCCTACATATGAAGAGTGTTTTTATATATATATATATATAATTTATGTATTGTGTTTAAAGAAACTTAATTTGATTGGTTAAATATCCAATTTTGTTTTTAAATAACTAATTAGGATGTTTGCAAAGATGACTATATAAGTTGATTTTAAACTGATATTATTAATTGTTCTTAACAATCATACTAAAGATAACCATATAGGCATGTAGTGTTTTCTTTCTGATTGTGTTACTGCTGTGACATCGTTTTGAACATCCTTGACACAAAGCATCTTATTTTAAACGAACATCCTTGACACAAAGCATCTTATTTTTTACAGCAAAAAAATCACCAATTAATCCCTAAACTTTCTAAGTTTGAATCAACTTTCCTCATACTATAACTCTGTAAACCCTTGAATCACACAAATTTAAGACATTAATACCAATTTAACGATGAAAACTTATGTTTCAATCACATGTTTATCACCCTCTATTTAAAAATACCCGTCACCTTCACACATAAGTAAATTTATTCAACACAAGTATGCCATGTCAAATTTATTCCATGCGTAAGCCCACATTAAGTTCTCTTGAGAATCCAAATTTGGGTGTTCCATAGAGAACCTATGTGGGTTTTGTTTTAAATAAATTAAGAAAAAGAGAGATACAAATAGATAGTGGCGGAGGCAGGGGTGCAAGGGGGGCGCTCGCCCCTTAAATTTGAAAATCTTGTAAATTAATATATCAAAATTATTTAGTCTCTTGAACTTTAAAAATTTTAGTATTTTGCCCCCTTGAAAAAAATTTATGCCTCCGTCCCTGCAAATAGAGAAGGAGGAGGTAGATGAGGGAGGAGAGAAAAAAAAAAAGAAGAAAAGGTGGCTGAGTAAGGTAGAAGATGAAGAGTGATGGAAGTTTATTTATTTATTTTTTTTGTTTAAAATGAAAGAGTTAAAATATTTGAGTTATTTGGACAAAAATTGGACGACTTGGCGTTGCCACGACGGATTAAATTGCTGATGTGTGGAGTGATACAATGATTTTAGAGAGTAATGTTATAAAAATAATTTTTTTATATAATTTTTATGTGTAATTAAATGAGTTAATGCATTCAATATTACGAATTTTATATAAATTAAAAAAATTAATTATTTAAATAATATATTAAATTATACAAAAAAATAAAATAAAAAAATTATACAAAAATTATTTCCTTTTTAATGAATGTATATAAATTCTCAATGTCGTAGACTTGAGAAATAAGTAAGGTTATGGAATTTG